ATATCCCCCACAATATGATCAAAAACCTGTTGTTTTGATGTTATTTTGACCATTTTTCAGGTCCCCAAAAAAATCTGTGGATGCAATCATAAAACTAAAAATGCCAAAAGTCTCATATTTTGTTTGGTTACTTATGATTAAGGTTAGCACTGGGTAGAGGATAAGGTAGTCATGTTGGGATTAGAGCGTTCTCAATAGAAATGAATGGAGAGTCCCCACAAAGATATACAAACCTGTGTGTGTGCATGCATCTATATATTTTTATAAACATATAATATAGCTGTTTTTACTAGAGCAGTTAAGGTGATGTGTCTTTCGGACATGAGTAAAAGGGCGTGTCCCTGCCCCCCCCCCCGCCTTCTTTCGGGGGCTTCATCATGGCTTCTTACGCTTGGTGCTCCAGTCAATTTGCTTTTTTCAACATGGAGATGCAGCTACTCAAAAAACATGTCACACATTTTCTGGCACAGACATTGCAGATGCCACCCATCCCCCCCCCCCTGCCCATCACTGTCTAGGGATGTGTTCAGTATCTGCTTCTACAGAGCAGTAGTTGATATAATACCCAAGACATTTCCCCATTGTAATAATAGCCTCTGGATTCATTCTGAGTAATTGATGCCAATTAAATAGATGACACATTCCTACATGTTATGACTGATGGGTAAAAATGGATTTATGTGGAGAATTTCTAGGGCAGAAGAAAATGTATGCATTTTATTTCTGACGTGTCAAAAGTTTTTTTTTTTTTTATGTATTAGGACTTTTAGTGGGTAATGCTAACAAAGCTAACTCTGTGCCTTTAAATTCCAGATGTTTCTGATACAGTGGATTTATACAGCCTATGACTACCTCTGTCAGATTGGTGATGATCTCCTTCACAATAATTGGTAAGATTTTTACTTGAATTTAGGAAGGTCTATTTATTCATAATTTCTTCTACCTATTTTTATCGATGTAGTAATAATGTTATGTAAGTGGACAGTGTCCCCTTTGCATCTGGAATTTCTTAACCAGAATGTCTTTGGTTTGCAGGCGAGAGATGATGCCACTCTTATCCTTAATATTCTCTGCATTGTTCATCTTATTTGGCACAGTTGTCATCCAAGCTTTCAGGTCAGTTCTTATACTCTTCCTGCTTCCACATGTTGCTTGTCCAGCTCATTCATTTTGCCGTTCCCTCATCCATCGCTGCTTTCAGTGACTCCAGCGAAGACAAGCAGTCAAAACCGAAGGCAAAAGATTCAGCCAAATCGGAGGATGGATCACCAGGCAACACCAGCACTTCCAGGCAAGGGAACGATGTGAACGGGTCTCGCCGTTAAGGAAAGTCTCGCATTGTTATATGCTAAATCATAGTCTGTATTTTTTTGGTCGCATGTTTTCTTCATCGTTACCAATAGCTACAAATTCCACTTCCATCTGTGAATAATGTTGCTGTGAATAATCATGCTGATGGTTAATGTGTGATTGTTCACCGTCCAGCAAGATCTCTGCACGTTCTGAAATGTTGATGTAAAGGATAGAGTTCTAAATTTCCGGCGAATTTAACCACATAAGGATGGCCCTTGTCCCACTGTAGTCGCCCTCCAAAGAAGAACTTTGTGGAGGTGACTGAGTTGACCGACATCACCTACACCAGCAATCTGGTGAAGCTGAGGCCAGGGCACATCAACGTGGTCCTGGTGCTCACCAATGCCTCCAAGAACATCCTGCTCAGCAAGTTTGCCAAAGAGGTGTACTCCTTTACTGGGTGAGCGGCCAGGTGGATTGTTCTGATTGGCTGTGGTGGTGAAGCAGTTTCCCCTGCAGTGGGTTAGGGTGGCTCAACAGCGTGATATGTGGTATTTTCATCATGTTTTTTTGGCAAATCATTTAATTTATCGTGACTTGCTGTATAAATAAGCTTTATCATTAGGCATTTATTAGGTATATTGTTAATTTTAAAATATGACCCTTCTAAGGGCCTGTCAGCGGTCCTGGAAGTTGACTATAAACAAAAATAAGTCATAAAATATAATGTCGAAATTAAAAAGTCTGAAATTAAGTTTCTGTCCCTTTTAAGTCATTTTCTGATAATGATGTCACTAATAAAATATATTTATAATATTTAAACATCTCAAAGCATGCTGACATTGGTGTCCATTCCTCCGTAATGCAAGCAAGCTAAATTGGGCAAATACATTAGATACTGCCTGGTTGACCTGTGGTACTATGTGACCAGTGATGACCGAATGGATTCTGTCCTCACAGGAGCCTGACACTCCACTTCTCCTTCCTGAATGTGGACAAGCACAGCGAATGGATGGACGCACTTCTGGAATTTGCCCAGGACGCCATGCGCGCCGATAATGACGAGGATGATTCCGGCCACAAGGTGGACTACACCGGATATGTCTTGGCCCTCAATGGCCACAAAAAGTACTTCTGCCTCTTCAAACCCGTCTATACGGGCGAGGACCTGGACGGCAAGTCCGCTGAGGAGGCGCCTGCTACTGCGGGGAGGAGCAGGTCCGGGTCACGAGAGGAGCAGGCTGCCCGCAAGACTGTCCCTCGGTCCCGATCCACCTCCACCCTCCAGATCCACCACAAACTGGACCGGCTTGGCCTGTGGATGGAGCGGCTGATGGAGGGAACCTTGCCCAGGTACTACATCCCTGCTTGGCCTGGCCTGGAGAAGATAACAGCCAACAAATAGAATGACATTATGGCTGGCTGTGCTTGTGTTAGGCCCACAGATAAAGATTGCTGTGTCTGGAAGGATTGGCATTTTTTTGAGAAAGCCAGATGCCTCTTCTGCCTAGCTTCTGTAGGGATTCACTGTAACGTGCTGCTCAAAGACACAGCCAGTAACGGCGAAATTGACCATTGCAGCAGCACTAGCTGCCAGTGAGATCTGATGGACCGATCCATCTGCCCACAGCACTTTCGGCCGCCTCCATTCATGTTATGTTTTCAATCCCCGTGTTGGGATCGCTTTGGAGCAACCCATTGTGCTTTTGCTGCTTTTTAGAGTCCCTGCCTTGCTATAATGTTTCCCCGCTGCACGCTGTGTCCTTCCTTAGCCCATCCACACATTTACAAAGCACTGGAATCACTGTGAGTTCCCTTTTTAGTTCCTTGGACTTGACTGCTCTGCCCCCTAGTGGTCACTCCATACCAGAACACGGTCTGTTTGACTTGGATGACAGATCCCATGCAGTTTGTTCTGCTTAAAACATGCCTTCTTGTGTGTGTTTTGCTGCTTCTTCAGTATGATTTGGTGCTCATTTTTTCATTTCAAAATGTTTTTGTGAAAAAAAAAAAAAAATTACCAGTGTGGGCTTTTGTTATTTAATTTAACTGCACAAGCTTTTTTTCCCCTTATCATCTAGCATGCATCATGGTAGCCCATCTCCAAGCTACCAATTCTCCATATCTCTGCTTATTGAACTAACTTATCTGACAGGCGCCTTCTGGCCAGCGGCGTTATGTAGCATTGATGTCTCTTATGATCCGCCCAGTAGAAATGGTTCTTTGAAATAAGATTACTTGCATTTCAAATATTAATTTAAACCTTTATGGCTACTGAGTTTAAACACACTATAACCACTAATGTACTATTGTTAATTCTCCTAGTGTATGATTTGTATATACTGTAACCAAGGTAACGAAATGTTGTCTCCTGTAAATCTGTTCCAAAATATCAACTGTACTTTGCTGATTCAGCAGCTCCTGCTTCACAGCGGCATGTACTTGTTACACAGTAGCCAGGTGGAAACGGGCCTTGGCTTAAATTCATGCTTGTGCTGAAGCCGTGGAACAGATTCCTACATCAGGATCACGATCCATTTCTGTTAAGTTTTACCCCGACTGTGCTTGAGTCCCATTGGCTGGGCACTTTCGCAGGATTTGGAGTCTTGAGTTTACATGGGATTATTTGGCAGGAGAGCATTGGGTACAGAGTAAATCCTCAGGCTGTGCCCGCTTCTCCCAGTACTCTGAAAGTTGGCATAAATATGCTCTACTGCTCATTGGAGATTCTGATTTTAAACAAGCAATCCCCTCTATTTTCAACAATAAAAATTATAATTTATATTTGTGTGTTCTGAAACGTTGTGAATAATGTACATAAAGACTGAAGTAGTTTTATTTATTTCATATGTTATGTAATTATAATAAAGGTGAATTTTAAGGTGTATTACTTATTTTGACAACTTTAAGGTAAATGCCAAAGCTGAACTGGAATGGTTTAACCAAAAGTTTCATGTTCCAAATGTATACAGACAGGGTTTCCGCGGGTCTTAAAAAAGTCTTAAGTCTTAAATCACTTTTCCGTGAATTAAGGCCTTGAAAAGGTCTTAAATCAGACCAGCAAGTCTTAAATTCATATGATCATGGCATTAATTTTTGTGAGGGATTGTTTCCTCGTGTGTTTTGATTTTAAAGAGAAGCGAAAGCGTAATTTGTGTGCTACATGGCTTAGATCGCTCAATATTCATTGAACGGTAGATGGCGTTATGTGCTGCTTCATCTGTCAGTAACCCGAAGAAGAACTTGACAAGCATGCGCAGATGAACCCTTTCTTCTAAAGCGCGCTATTTAGACATGTAGTGCGATTGGAAGGCCGAAGAATACGTATATTCTTATGATTATAATATATCATAATTCTTATGATTATAATATATTCGTATGAATTTCCCTACGATATTTTTTCCTTAAATTTTCTTTATTTGGTCTTAAAAAGGTCTTAAAAAAAGTCTTAAATTTACTCTTAGAAAACCTGCAGAAACCCTGACAGAGTATGAAAAAAAATAAATGGGGAATGAAATTATACTAGAAAAATCCAGTTTTGGCTTTGGGAGTGGGAGTAAGGCATATGTAACATTACAGCTCACAGGATTTTGATATTGTAATGTTACAAAAGAATGGAGGTTTTTCCGCCCAGCCATCATTCCAATACTTAAATTATGACAAAGCTGTAGAATCATACAATAAACAAAGGAATTTATATTAGCTGATCAGCTTTGGAATTAGCTTTAATGTGAGGGATAATATAAATTCTGGAATATGATGATTTGTGCAACAATATTTCACTTAATCTAAAATGCTCTTTATCTCCACAATAGCAATTTTCCGTGCCAGCCAGCAATGTTTGTATTCATACATTAAATATGTAATACACTGGAGATGTTCCAGTTATTGTGGTGCAAGAATTTATAACAAGCAATGAATGCATTTATCCAAAATCTGAATGATTTTCATAAAGGGTCTTCATCAACAAATGGCAACTGACAATGGTGTTTAACAGGACTGCAGAAGAGTTTGATGATTAGCAGAAATGAGGGCCTTGCTTATAACTTTAATTTTGTTTGCACTGAGGGGAAGCACAAGACATCAGTAGTATTTTATCTTTGGAAGGACGCACATCATTTCAAACAACAGGTTGGCAGCTAACAGAGCCGTGTTGCCTAAAGAAAGAAGAAACAAGTGGAATCAGGAGTTATTACCACACACCACCAATGAGTATATTTAACAGCATATCTGCATTTTAGGTTTGCTGTTACACCAACGTCCAGTACCTGTGGTGTCATAAGGTGGAGATACTTCTACCAAGTCGCAGCCAATCAGCTTCAAGCCACGACAACCCCGTATAATCTCAAGTGCCTATGGGGGCAGACACAACCAGTATAAAACACAAGATTATGCATGTTTGAGCTTTCTGTCAATAAAACTGAATAACACAATTGATGGCTATTTATTAAATATCTGGAACCTGGATGGGAGTGAGTCCAGCGATCTCAGGCGTGCCGGTCCCGGGTGCGAAGGCAGGGTCTAAGGAGTCAATGTCAAAACTGAGGTACACTGGCCCCTCCCCCATCTGCTTCCGGACTTCCACCATGAGGGGAGTCAAGGACTTGAACCAGCACTCTTCAACCTGCACCACCCGAAACCCCTAGACACAGACGCTCTGTTTCAGTAAAGATGATAATGGGTGTATACAGGGGCGGGGACTAACCCAAGCTGAAAGCTGATTGGCCCCTGGAGTACCCCTCCCCTGTCACTCAAACCTTATCATTGGCTAATGATTAGGTTGGCCCCTCTTATGCCCCCAACCTTAAAAAAATCTTTGAAATTCCCCTGTACCTAAGATTTTCTAGTGCTCTACTAAACAGGTAATGATCAGAAATACAAAGTCACTGTGCCTGGTCTTGGCATAATGTCAGAGGTGGAAATTTCAGGTCCAGAAAGTACAAATCCAGACCAGGATTTTGTTTCAACCAACCAGTGGAGTACTCTGTAACTGTGACTCTTTATGCTCAACTGGTTGGTTGAAACTAAATCACGGTCTGGATTTGTACTTTCTGGACCTGAAATTTCCACCTCTGCATAATGTCAGTAAAGAACACGACACAGCAAATATTAATCGAGAGGCAGCAACCATCCTTGTAGGTGCGAGAGAATGAGAGGAACCTGTTTTCTGCTCCACTGGTAAGCATCAGGTGAGTAGCTTGTCCCACGAAGGCCGATCTGTGCCACCCGTTTGCAGTCCAGCAGCCCTTCCTCCACACAGCGACGGAATGGTGTCCCGTGTCCAATCTTCTCGCCCAGGACAACATCATTAGTGTCTGCATGTGCATCCACATGGATGAGGCCTACTGGGCCATGTCTATCAGGGAGGCACACATGAAGAACGGAAACGGCATTACATTTTCCATATTATAAGTGTATGTCATTTAATAATCTTATACTAGTACCCTCTACATCCAGTTTGTATCTATCCAATATCAATAAATGCTGACATTCTGCACTAATACTTGCTCATCACCCCATGAGTGGAACATATTACAAAATATATTGAATTTAAACTCCTTGTCTTCTCTGAATGTGTTTAGAAATCTCAAACTCTGAGCTTAAAGAACAGTGTCATTGTTTCATATAAATAAATTTAATTCTAAGTATTTTTGGAGAGTGTTTGTATGTGTTTTAGTTTGTGTTCATATTAATCATATCAATCATCTCTGTATGTATGTATATGGAACCTTTGTCTTATTTTGTTATTTGCTGCCTATCTTGGCCAAGACTTCCTGGAAGAAGAGATGTTCTATCTCAGTGGAACCTTCCCGGTAAAATAAAGGATAAATAAATAAAATAAACATAAATAATATAAACAAAAAATGTTACAAATTTATAGACGACATTATAATTTTATATAGCGACATTACCATATTATTATTATTATTATCATTAAATTTGTTATATTCTGTGGAGTTGGTGCATAATGCAGCATCATCACATTATGCGTTGTTACCAATTCATTCGAATCCTATATAGTGCATAACTATTACCACACTTTTGTATATTGTTTTACATGCTTTTTACATGAAATTAGAACGAATGCAATTTCTATCTTAAATCTTTGTTTAATTTGAATGATCTGTCTCCGCTCTGCACACCTCTGCCGTTACTCTACACGATCACACTTGTGATGCTACATCTTGCACTTACACACTTACTTCTCAGCAACGGCTTGGAGAATTGGGTACGATATGGTGTGATCGCCACCTACATGGAGCGATACGGTAAAGGTTAAGGCAGAAGCACCATCACAGGCATGTGAAGATTATTCCTATTATTTACTGCTACCAGCTTCATGTATCTATTTAATTAGCAAAATTTTATCCCAGGTTTCAAGCTGTAGTTAATAATTGCTGAAGTACTGGGCAAAGTGACATAACTGTTTATTTTCAGGTTCCTCTCTGGTCAAACAAGGATATGAAACAGTTCCCTGAAACCCCTGGAGTTTGACATAACAATAATGTTCATTCAGGGAATCAGTTGCAAACTGTTGGAACAACGTGCTATTGTGATGTATGCTTAGTGAACTCCCACATATTTCATTATCATATGAGTCTCTGAAAGGATTCCGTATATACTGAGCACAATATACATCTCACCTATGGTTAATGGTACGCAACCAGTAGCCACAATCTTTTTGTAAGCTTCACGGATTCGTTTGCACGTATCCTTTAAGTCATACATGTTGACGTTTACGTCGCCAATGTCGGCGACCACGAGCGACTGGTAAGGAGCAGCCCCGGTGGCCCCGTTGCACGCGCGCAGCATGGCCGATTCCGCCCTGATTTGCCGAGGACCAAACCTGCAACACACACACTGCGTAATTAAACACGTATAACGCAAATTTGTCCTTGCACATATTATTTCTTCGAGTTAAGAGAAATCTGCGAAAGTAGACATATAGATAGAAGCTAGAAGACATTCGCCTTTGCAAACATTCAATGTAAACTTACTTTATTCTAGAAATCAATAATTCGCAAATTTTTTTCCAGTAAATTGCAACTACTCTGCTGAGATTAAGTGAAATTTAAACGTGACAGTACTGACGGTGATGTGAACAACTTCGACAAACAGATAAACAACAATATTCATAATAAATGCTGCTGCAATTGCATAATGATTATTCTGTGCATGGCTCTCTGCAAGTTTCGTCCTGGAGCTTATTGCGACGGGCGCACTCATCGTGCGGGTTCCGGGCAGACTGACACTGTACCTCGCCCCGGGACGGTTCGAAGTGCCGGTGTCGATGGGAACACCGATAAAAGCAGCGTCTAGACCTTCAGCTGACTCCTTGAAAGGCAGCTTTCCCATAGTAGAAATTCCAGAAACTCTAGCCACAAACTCGGCGCTGGGCGGAACATTGTAGCTTTTCGCCGACAGCCGTCTTCTGGGCTCCGCCGCCCCGTCAGGTCTCTCACTCCGGCGTGCAGAGACTATTCCCGTCAATTTGGGTGAGCAATGCATTTGGGATTTCATCCTCCGCAAACCTAGTAGTGCGAAAGAATTTGGAGAAGTTTTGCTTGCATGTTTCAAAATAGCAAACATTGCTTCTTCTTTTTGTAAATTCGGCACAAGATAATCGAAGGAGAAATTTTCTCAACTAAACGACAGCAGAAGCAAAGTCCAGACTGAAGAATAAAGTGCAGCAGTTAAAACCCTCCGGTGTTGCCGAGATCATGGGAAACGTATTTTTCTGCAAGTAAGTGGAGCAGTGAACACGCACACGTGACAGCCTCAGCTGTTATGGAGATGCGTCAAGGAAAGTAATATTTGTAGATAAGGTGACTTCAGACTCCAAAGCAAGAATACACCACAGTCATATCAGCGCAAGACATTTATTTATACAGTGATTGTCAAGCTTGTACCATTCAGTTCTTCCACCTTAACAAGAGTCAATTCATAATTGAACCAAAACTCAGCCTTTTCCCCGTTCAAATACATCTGTAGTGTTACAAGTCTTTCGGGATTTATACATGGTAAAGAATCCTACTATGAGCAGGCTAAGGGTATAGATATGAATGCTTGAAAGTTGCAATCCATTTGAAACTCTGGATAACTTCAGAAACATCCAAAAACACAAGCAGCTGCACACATCTGACTAAATTACAAATAAATAGTTACCTAGATGCATCTGCAGCTTCCACTCATCTCCAAAATTATAACCTTTTGACATGAGAAACTTTTACATCATTAGTGTGTGCAATGTTTCACATAGTGCATTTTCTATGAAAATAGATGAAATTATGCCAAGTTAACCAAGTTTCACACTTGCTATGTGCAGGATTGTGCGAAAAATGCTAAAGTGCATGCCCTAATAGAGACAGAATCCTGGATATGCCCCACAGGTACCTCCTACTGCAGGCTAATCCAAAACATTCAAAAGAATTGCGTCTGTGGAAGTCAAGCAAAGCCAGACTGAAACATGTGTTTTTCACGTCCAAACAAAAGGAACGCTATGGAGGTACGGAGCTCCTCGAGGGTGACGTTGGACAGGAAGCTCTTCTGCAGCTCCATCTCCACAGTGCTGCCGTTTGGGTAACGATCCGTGAGCAGTGCCACAGCGGACCGGCACAGCAGCCAATCAGCCATCTCCTTCGTACTGCCGATATCCCGGTCGGCTAGGGATTGTGCGCCCCATAAGCTAAGATGCAGCATGTTGGCAGCAACACGGGCGCTGGGGCGCTGAAAGTAAAGCAACACCATGAGTCCTAATGAGAAACATCAGGTCTAATGCTGCGTTCCCGACAACTCGGAACTCAAAAATGTCCGACCTCCTACTTGGTACTATGGAACACCTGTTGAAGTCAGATCTCCGCCTGGGAAACGTGCGCTAATTTCATGAACCCTGACTAAACTGAGAAACAGGTGCTGTGACGTCAGACAACATGGCAGCGATTAAAGTCAATGACAAATAATCAAGTGACGGCCACAGAGAGTGATTTTTCTTTGTTTTACGTTGCAATAAAATATATACATGTGAAAAATCTCTAGCTTGGAACATATTTGGAAATTCTGACCTCCGACTTCACTGGAATGCAATATTAACATATTTTTTTCCCCACAGATAGTTACTATAGTGTACATATCTTATTGAATGTTTTGTGTCTATGCATTGAGATTACAAGACATCCAATGAAAAAAGATATGGAAGATGTGGGAAGAAATGCTAATATCCCATGGCCACCTACCTTTTTGGGGTTCCGACGCAGCAGCAGCTTCACCACCACTTGGGTGTCAGTGAGCATGTAATGGGGCAGCGGGGGCAGCTGCCACTCCTGGTACCTACTGCTGTCCAGGCCGTTGCGGCCGTAGAACGGATTTGGCTGCCCAAAGATCTCATAGGAAATGGCTCCAACTGCCCAAGCATCAGCTTTGCTGTAGTCAATGACAACACTGGGCCCAGCAATGGCCGTGGCAATCTTGAACATATATAAAGAAACGGTTGTGTTAGCCCGATGTTTCGAGCATCAATTTGTTGATCAATTTATTAACTATCTCTATTTATGACAGTGAATAACCTCAGGGGCCATTAGCGCAGAATTCCCCCCTCGGTTCACCCATCGGCTGTTGAAGGGCAGCTTCAACTCACAGTCCCTCTCTGCCAAACAGCAGCCAAAATCTGTAATCACCAAGCGAGGGTTGCCCCCTACAAGAGAGAGATATGAAACTGGTATAATAACACAGGCACTGAGTTAATGAAAGTAAAATATACAAGATCTTGTTCTTTAGTATTAACACAGTCATGTGGGTCCTCTTGACCCCCATTAAAACAAGCATGCACCTTGAATCAACAGGCAGAAACCATAATAGACGTTGGGGGAGTCTTATTATTATGCAAATGCTGGCAGGATGAATCCAAAACAAAATAAGCCAAAGACACCATCATGATTGGGACCACACCATCTGACATCATAGATCATGTGGCTCTGACCAGAATCAAACTCCAGGAGAATGTTGTCAGACTTGAGGTCCCGATGCGCGATGCCGTGTCGACATAAGTGGTCCACACCCTCCAGGAGCTGAAGCACCATCAGAGAGCCTGTCCTCGCACAGGGCAGAGAATCCTCCAAGAACTGCCCTAAGGTACACGGGTAGCTGCAGGGAAAGAGCAGCCCATGTAAAACGCCAATCAATCTCTTTGAAGTTCACGCAACATGTATGAAATTTACTTCTTTGCACAATATAGGACCCTCTCCAAATGACTTTCCATATAAAGGTCTAGACTATGATTCGTGATACTGGTTACATACATGCTGCTTTACTTAATGTGCTGAAAGCTTATTGATAGCTACACTGAAGGATCAGAATCTTCTTACTTTTTCATGACCAAGAACAGGGTGTGGTTCCTCCCTAAGCCTGCAGGGTTGAGTCGGGTAGGCAGGACATCGGGATACTCCTCTTTTGCCCCAGGTAACAGAGGGACTTCTGCTGTGAATGCCCTGTACAATGTGATCACGTTGGGATGAGCAGATACCCTTCTGGGCACATCCCCAAAATACCTGCAAAGACAAAGAGAGTCCTCAGACCTTCCAGGCTGTTCTGTGCTCGAAGGCACAAACCATGAACTGCTGCAAAATCTCACCCATCCACCACAGCTGCACCATTTCTCTCTTTCAAAGCCAGAGGTCCTGCTGGGACCAGTTCGTGCGACATGGCGCTCAAGATGGAATCACTTGATGAACCAGGCTGCAATACACCAGGAGGAAAAAAAGCAGAAAGTCTCAGTGTGGTACTTACAACTCCAGTTGTGAGGCCTTCAGAAAGTAATAAGGCTTTAAGATGCTGTGGCCACTGAAGATTAAACTGTGTGAGAGTCAGCAAAGTTTTCAAGGTACCATCCGTGAAACAATGCTAGCCTTCAGTAACAACCCAGGGAACGGGGAACAACCCAGGATGGGGCGTCAACCCACCTCAGAGCACACACACACACCATTTACTAGCACATGCACGCCTACGGGCCATGTGGTAACTCCAATTAACCTCAGCATGTTTTTAGTTTGTGGGGTGGTACTGGAGCACCCGGAGGAAACCCCACAACGACTCGTTAGTAACCTAATCAAAAAAATTACTTTAAGAGTAGATTACGTGTTTGTATTTGTCCTTAGAAGTCAAACTTTACTGCAGAGGTCTGATATAAAAACGTGGATCTCAGCTGTGTGGGTTAGCTTGGCCAGACTATCCAAGAACGTCCATTAGATGTTAAGAGCACCACCTACCCCGATGTTCCACATCATCTTCACAGCCAGTGGGTAGTCAGTCACAGAGCAATTTCTCAGTTCTCGGTCATCCTCCTGCCTGTCATCGCTGCCCAGCTTCATCCTCACTAGGGAGGATGTCCTACTCTCCCTGGGGACAGCGAAGGAAGCTGCAGCCTCATACACGGCTGCATTGCACCCCTTCCCGATCTGCTTTCCAATCACATAGTCCTCCAGTTTATACCCCGAGGTGAAGTGTTTCAGAGGGTTCTGGAAAGTCTTCTTACTGAATAGCGCCTTAAATTGGGGGAGGGGGTGAAGGTATTAAGCCTTTAATCTTCACAACTTAATCTTAATATTAACAGGTCAGCATTTACAATACACATACCGTACTAATTAGTGCATCATACAATTTATGTCTTTTGAAGGCGATCTGACATTTGATCACATGCACAGCATACAGTCGCATCCTTCATTTTAAATTGTATTTATTTTTTAAATATTATCCTTAATTTGACTATGTAGTACATCTGTAAAGATAAGAACATTTTTCCGTCGTACTGCCTGTGTACGGTCTGCACCATTACCTGGATCTCTTGACAAGCCGCGGTGCTCCTTCGGTCGTCCTCCAGTTGCTGCTCAATTAATCCCACACCGAGCCCGAAAGCCAGAAACACGGCTCTGTTCCGGGGGGAGCCAAACATTCTCCTAAAACTGCCGGAATGCAGCTGGGCAGCAAGGCCGCTGAGCGACGTGCGATAATGCCGGTAGTGAGACGGCAGGAAAGTCCGAGGCTGGACGGTGTGGACCGGCGGGCCTACGCGAAAGCCCTCGCCTCGGACCTTCGCTGCTACTCGGACAGCCGGTTTCCCAAAGCAAGTCTGAAACACCGACCTCGCCAATGTCATCCCACGACTTATTACATTTCTTACGGACATGGTTGCCTTAAAATTCCTCCCGTGAAGCCGCTTTCCCCAGCAACTTTTACCGATCAAAACACACGACCAAGGTCAAAATGTAAACAAGTTAGCCCCCTAGTGTTGGGGAATGGCATAACATGTCCGTTTGCCCTGTAAGTGAAAGAAGGACGAAGCTGCGCTTTTTGATTTGTTTTTATTCAGTGCAATAAATATACATTTACAAGAAATGATTCAGGTATACTGAACGGACAACGTAATAATATAAATGTAATTATCTATAGATACTGAACCCAGCTAAAATATTACAGGCCTTCCTGATTATAAAAACAAATAATAACGTATTAAAATATTTTGTCATATAATTACTTCATTAAATGAAAGTGACACTGAGCTGTTTTTGATTTTGTGCAAGTTGTCATTGCTGCTTTATGAGCCAGCCAAGTAAATAGGAAATATACAGCAAATAAATTAAATTTCATTTACACTGCATTGATAATGTTCATCATATTTGGCACCAGTGCTTCAACTTAAGCCATCTTCTTATCAATTACTAAGAAAGCTAATGTATCGGCCATTCTTTTGTGCTGAATTTTGTTCTTTCTGCAGTTGGTGAATAATTTAATTCTGTAGGGCTATGAAGATTATACAAAACTTGCATTAAAGGCCATTATATGCACTCCCTAATTTTTAAGATCATCAGGTCCAAATGAAACTGGTAGTGTCTCCTTCACGGACATTTTTCTATAAGAACCATCAGGCTTGGTCAGGTAAACGTCCCAGTCAGCACCAAACTGCAGGGGGGGGGGGGAATAATGCCAGGGTGTAAAGTGTAGCTAAGAGTACAGGTGCTTATTATTGCATGTGGTTACTTATTGGTTACCAACTGCACTGGACTAAATAAAACTTGGGGGAGTGTAAAAGGGGAGGAGACAGTGTAAGACGTCATACATGTTCCAAAGTTTTTATTTACAGGTTCATCATTTACCAGTGGTTACTAAAGTATATACTTATGACTTTCTTAGTAGAAATTGTGCATTTCTAGAATTCAGCCCTGCATTTAAAATGTAACCAACAAATAAGAGTGAATAAAAAGAATGTTAAACAACTAAAACACTGCAGAAGTGTCTATAAGGGTATATAGTACACCCTGTGTTTATTTTTCACACAAAAAAAAAATAATAATAACAGAACATACTTCTCTCATCACCTGACGGCAGCCTCCACAGGGAGAAATGAACTCAGCTGAATCACTAAAAACATGAAGGTATAATTAGAAAAAGAGGATACATCACTGGTGGTGAAATAACGAAAGTGAATTAAAAGGAACTAATATATTTCTCTTACTGTCTCTGTAGCAGGGGCGCCGTAAGGGGGAAGAAAGCTAGGACGATTCCAAGGGCCCCTGAGCGACAGGGGCCCTAAAAAATTAGGAAAATAACTGGATTGGTTTGGACTGGGGGGCCTAATATGATATGCTTTCATGGGGCCCAAAATCTCTAGCAACGCCCCTGCTCTGTAGTACTGACTGCGAGAGGAGCTTGAAAATTTCTACTATGAAACTTTTGATTGTCCACTTGTCTAAAAGTATCCACTGAAATCGGAGTTCACTATAGTGCTCTTTATTATACTATGTTGGTAAATAATTTTCCACAATGCTTATAAAACATACTATTGTTTGAAATTATGTTTATCACCAAATAAAATATACTTCTAACAAAACAATGTATGGAAATAGAACATTTTGCAAGAAACTCAAAAGATTTTACCTAGCAATAGCAATAGCCTTGAACTTTCTGTGGCCATTCGAGATCGCTGTTGAAATGGCATTTCTTTCAGCACAAATGCCTAGAGTACTGCAAGCGTTTTCCATATTGCAACCTATAGAGGAAGACATAAAAAACCTTTAGTTTCAGTATGAGAAAATTTATATTTAAAGTTCTTGGAAATCGCAAGTCTATGTGTGTCATTCTAATTTGCTTATGTACTGATGAAAAAGGCTGCACTGATGTTCCTTCCAGTAAAACATGAAGTCATTGAGAATTCTTACTATACATTCCAGTATTATTTAAGTAAACATATTATCTATCATATTTTTCATTTCCCCCATTCACTGACTTACTTTTACAATCCCCTATAAAACAATATATATGTCTCTGAAGTTTCTTTGACGTGTCCAGACAAATAAATTGGACTTCATACAGTTTGACTTATCAAATGCTGTCCTTACACTCCTCGGTTACCATTTTTATTATGCCAGTACAGTCAAAGAAATCATCTCAAAGTAGATACTCTGTATAGTCTGGAGCCAAGTAAATGATTAACGTAGAAATGATAACTATTGGGCAAAGCAGTGATTCCCCGGCCATGTGTGTAAGTAATTTCCAAATGTGCCATTGCTTGGTCTTGTCCTTAAAGTCCACCCGGTTTTTATCATACACAAAAGGAGGGTGTCCCTTATTCTGTTGTATCCAGTTAAATCTGTGCACTCTATTTATTATAACCAAACAACAAGCAGATTAGCAGCTTTTGTACCATTACACCATTTGTGAATATTTTTTTTAATATTGTTTTATATATATATTCAATAATACTTTGGCTAGACAGTCAAAAAAACCTGAAACAGTAATTCATTGCAGCCATTTTCTTTCTACAATATGACAGAAAAGGAATACAATCCGCACAATTTGAATTTTTATTTTTTAATTCGAGTTAATAATTAACGAGTACTGTTTACTAAATAATCTAAACTGCTCAGCAGGAACTTGAACAAACAATGTAGATGCAACTGCCGAGTCATGTATTTTTCAACCTAAGATGTCCCGAGACCTTTCGGCACATAATCAGATTAGTTCATAACCAAGATACACTCCTGAATGAGAGAAACCCTACAGTAGACGACAAGTATTTACCTGTAAACACTTTCCCATCCAGAGTCAGCAGGGCTGCCCCAACAGGGAATTTGCTATAGGGACAATATGCGAATTGTTTCGCTTCACGGGATTTGCGGATCAACTCGTCAATCCAATCACATCCGCTTCTCTGAGTAACACCGTCTTGCATGTCTGCCATTCTGCTGTGTTCTGTGTTGCCGTACTGTATAAGTTATTCGTGTATGCCGGTAAGAGACCGCTGCGCCCTGCTAGAGTGTTTTAAATCAGCAGACGGGCGACCTCTCTTTATATTTCTGGCAAGAGGGCGGGGTGTTTCATTCCAAGGATTAAATAGGTTTTGTACTTCGTTACTTGTGATGTATTGTGTATTGCATTATTTTTATGATAACTTGGAATCCGTCTTAATCCCAAATCTTGACAGTGGCGAGGCAACCATTTTTAGTTTTGTTGTTGTTGTTTTTGTTTCACATGAATTCAAGACTAGTGATGGAATAGTTACAAAAGTCATTACCAGCAATATTCTACTGGAACATTGTCATTGCTAGACATTGAAACAGGTACATGGATTTTATACTTATTATTTTATACTTATAATACTTGGTATTTTATGGAAGCCCGTTTCCGCCAGGTGGTAAAAAAAATATAAGCCACGGAATCTCGCAATTGCGACTTAGTAAGTCAGAATTCCGACTTTATATCTCGCAATTGCGACTTACTAAGTCAGAATTCTGACTTTTTATCTCGCAATTGCGACTTAGTAAGTCACAATTCCGACTTTATATCTCGCAATTCCGACTTT